CCCACCTACTTCCTTTCTCTCTAATTTTAAGGTCATTCATTGCTGGTGCTCCCATAGCTCAAGGTTTGGCCAGCAGCAGCCCCTCAGGCTGGCTCCTGTATCTCTGTGACAGGTCCCCATCCTTCTCGGAGCTCTTTCTTACTCTCAGACACACTAACATGTTCCAGGCTCATCTTGCACTCTCCCTGCCTTACTGCTTTTATATTTTATTTTGTTTTTTTTGAAGGGGATGATATTCAGAAGCCAAGATCTGGGTGTCTGATGCTCTCATTGCTATTGTGGAGCTCCAGTGGACAGAGTCAGGCAACAGATTTTTGTTTAAGTCACTAGTCCACCCTGCCACTGAACCCTGCTCTATTCCTGTGGGCTTCTGCTCTCTCCCATTCCATATTTACATTTCCCCCAATGAACACCTGGCTCTTAATATCAATACGCTTGCTACCGTGCCCAGTCCCATAATGCATATGGTAGTTTCAGGTCAAAATCTCTACAGTTTTCTTGTCTTTGGAGCAAGTACTGTGTCCAAAGGTTGCATGGACTGGTTCTTTTGTATTTCTGCATAGTTATGTTTTTCATTTGAGATACAATTATGTTCATTTCTTTTCTATTTCTGTTCAATCTTAAATCTCTTTTTGTCTATCCTTGTCAATTTAATTCCATTGTTGACTATAGGAAGCATTAACTGAGTTCAAAAACTATGCAGAGGGACACTCAGACAGTGTCATTCCCTCTTTTCAATTTCAGTCCCCTCCAGCCCCCACCTTCTCTCCCCTCCTGTAGATAACCACTCTCAGTGGTTCCTGGTTTCTCTTCTGTGTTTGTTTTGCAAAAGCAAGCAGATATATGTATATTTTATCTCCCCTTCTTTTTTTTTTTTAATATATTACCTCCCCTTCTTTATTACACAAAAGGTACCATTTGACCTAAGCTCTTTTGTACTTCCCCCCCACTTAATATGACCTTGAAACCATTCCATTCATTCACAAAGGTCATCCTTGTCCTTGTCCTTTTTCATGGCTGCATAGTGCTCCATTTTGGGTGCAGCATAATTTATCAACCTACCTCCTGTGTACAGACATTTGGGGTACTAATATTTCTCATTTACAAACAACAAAAATAACCTTCTGTGTGTTAACTTGCATATTGTTAGAGCTGTGGCTTCAGGGAAGATTCTAGAGGGGGCTTGTCCTTCTTACAGCACAGAGATAAATTGTAAGATTAAATAAGGCGTGATATATGTATGGCCTTTCTCCCAGGCAGCAAGTAATTCATGGGAGAGGTCCTTGTTGGACAGCTCTGCCTTGTTAGTCAAACTGCTCTCTCATAGCGTTGTGCTTTAGTCCTGAATTTGCTTTCTGGGTCAGGGGCTCAGCTGGGGTTGGGGTTTAGTTGAGGTTGGGGCTCAACTAGAGTTGGGGCTTAGCTTGGGATCAGGGCTCAGTCTGGGGCTGGGTCTCACCCAGGATTATAGTCAGCTTAAGGCTCATCCAAGGTCTGGGTTCAGGCTGGGACCAGGGCTCAGCCTGGGATCAGGGCTCAGCCTGGGATTAGAGCCTTGTCCAAGGGCCAGACTCAGCCTCAAATCAGGATTCAATCCAGGGTATAGGCTTAGCCTCAAAACATTCAGTGTATCTCTCTGTTAATGTGCCCAAGTCAGGTGGTTCCTTGTGAGGCCAGCACTGAGGGCCAACTGTCCTACTGCACAGAGTGGTACCTGGGAAAGATTTGGCTGCTTTTCCCACCCCACCCCAGGCCTCAAACCCCAGCTCCTACACAGCTACCTGAGTGGCCCCTCCTCCCATAACCTCCCCTTCAGATCCGTTATTGCTTGGTCATTTCCAGTGACAAGATGCTACAGCCTCCTTAGGCAGAACCTCGATCTGAGCTTCCCTGTAATGGTCCTGTTCCCACAGCTGGGTAGTGAACAAAGGGAGAAGTGCTGGTCAGGAGCCACAGTCACCTGGACTGCCTGCCCGGATCTCCTGCCCACCCTGCCTCTTATGGGCACACTTGTGCCCTTTGTGGGACTGGCAAGGCAGCCTGCTTCCCCACTGAGACCACAGGGCAGGGCTGTGCCTCACCCCCCTAGGTCCTCCAGGACTGGCTTGACTTCTCCCACTTCTCACTCCCGCTTGGTGCCCACGCCTCAATCTTCAGCCATCTCAGACTGAGTCAGCCTGAGCCAGGTCAGGTGGACATGGATGGGAGTGGGGCGAGTCCCCATTTTCCCTGTGAGTCCCTCCCCCCAAAGGTGAGGGGCTGCCCCGGGTGAGGGTCCCTAGCTCTGCTCCCAGTAGGGCCAGCTCAGGAGGCAGAAGAGACAATCGAAAACTCTGGTAAGGAGGGTCCTGGCCCCGGAGGACCCAGTGTCTGTAGGTGGTCACCTCCCACTGTGTGACCCTCAGTAGCGGGTGCCACCTCTTTAGGCCTCAGTTTCCTCTTCTGTGGACGGGTGTACTACAGGTCCACCTCGCCCTATCGTGGGGATAAAATGGGGTGCATCCACACCTTCAACAAGGTGGCCAGCTGGCAGTGCTCATGTTCATGTGTGTGCAGTCACTTGACACATACTTATTAAGCACCTACTGTGTGCCAGGCACAATTGGAGCAGTTGGGAAGACAGTAATGGAATACCTGGGTCTTGGAGGAAGTCACCTAGCCAGGAAGGATGGCAAATGCTTTTGGGGGACACATTTCCCTCCCTCTGGGCCCCTACCCCCTGGGCTTTTGAGGAACAGAAGGGGGCAACGGTGGGGGTCTCGAAGCTGGAGCAGCTGCAGTGCCCTCTGAAGGCCTGAGGTGGGAACAGACCGTTGGGATGCCCCTCCCCGCCCAGGCCTCACCCTCACCCTGGGGGTACCTCGAACATAACAGGAAATTTCGAATAACAGGAAGCCAAGCCCGTCAAGGCGGCAGCTCCACCCTGCCTGGGGCAGCCACCCTGAGCCTCAGTCTGTCCCTAGAGACTGCCATGAATGCCACGGGGTCCGCAGTGAAGGCCCCTGACACCTGCCAGCAGCTGGCGGCCAGTGGGCACAGCCAGCTCATTACCCTGCACTACAACCACTCGGGCCGGCTGATGTGGCGGACCAAGCAGGAGGACGGGGGCCTGAGTGTCCTGCAGGGGCTCTTCGTGGCCATGAGCTGTCTGGTGGTGCTGGAGAACCTTCTGGTGCTGATGGCCATCGTGACCCGCATGCGCTCCCGGCGCTGGGTCTACTACTGCCTGGTGAACATCACCCTGAGCGATCTGCTCACCGGCTTGGCCTACCTGGTCAACGTCCTGCTGTCTGGGGCCCGGACCTTCCACCTGGCGCCGGCCACCTGGTTCCTGCGGGAGGGCATACTCTTCATGGCCCTGGCTGCCTCCACCTTCAGTCTGCTTTTCACAGCCGGCGAACGCTTTGCGACCATGGTGCGGCCGGTGGCCGAGAGCGGGACCACCAAGAGGGGCCGCGTCTTGGGCTTCATTGGGCTGTGCTGGCTGCTGGCCGCCCTGCTGGGCCTGCTGCCCCTGCTCGGCTGGAACTGCGTGTGCTCCTTCCAGAGCTGCTCCAGCCTGCTCCCGCTCTACTCCAAGGCCTACATCCTCTTCTGCGTGGTCATCTTTGCCTGCATCCTGGCCACCATCATGGTGCTCTACGGGGCCATCTTCCGGGTGGTGCGGGCCAACGGGCAGAAAGCCTCGCGCCCCCCGTTCCGCCGCAAGGCCCGCCGGCTGCTCAACACGGTGCTCATGATCCTGGTGGCTTTCGTGGTCTGCTGGGGTCCCCTCTTCGGTCTGCTGCTGGCCGACATCTTTGGCTCCAACATCTGGGCCCAGGAGTACCTGAGGGGCATGGACTGGATCCTGGCGCTGGCTGTGCTGAACTCGGCCGTGAACCCGCTCATCTACTCCTTCCGCAGCCGGGAGGTGTGCCGGGCCGTGCTGGGCTTCCTCTGCGGCGGGTGCCTCCGGCTGGGCCTTCGCGGGCCTGGGGACTGCCTGGCCCAGGCTGTCGAGGCGCACTCGGGAGCCTCCACCACTGACAGCTCGCTGAGGCCCAGGGACAGCTTTAGGGGCTCTCGGTCGCTCAGCTTTCGGATGCGGGAGCCCCTGACTAGCATCTCCAGCGTGAGGAGCGTCTGAGCCACGCTGGGGAAGATGGTGCAGCCACCGGGTGCAGGCCCACGCAGGCCCATGCAGGCCCTCCTCCCGGCCTGGACAAGGCCCCGGAGGGGGGCCCGGAGCCTGGGAGCATGCAGAGAGGCACCAGGCAGGCCCAGCTGGAGAGGACAGGCTACCAGCCAGGTGTCCCAAGGCCCTGTGCTCCTCCCCGCAGCCCCGGGGCTGCTGACGCCAAGCAGGTGTTTGTTTCTTGGCCTCCTCGGAGAGGAAGGGAAGTGCTCACTGAAACAGAGAGCGCCCTGGAATGGGGACAAGTAGGGTTACTATGTATGCGCCAGGTCCTTTGTGATTCTGGGGAAATCCTGGCTCCTTTCTGGGCCTCAGTGGGGCTCCCAGGCGACGAGGGGCAGACTGTGGGATTGATGCCTTGGCAACATGGAAGTTCAATGATGGTACGAGATGTCTCAGCCTCCCTCTTATTCATGTTTTTTTTTGCAGAGGGACGATGGCAGGAGAGCTGTGGGGCGGCTGGGAGCCTGCAGGAGGCATGTCTGTGGCCAGGGGAGGCCTTGAGTCTGTGCTTGGTGGGGGCGTGTGGTTGTGAGGGCAGGCGGGGTGTGTGTGTGTGCATGTGTGTGAGTGTAAGTGTGGGGGGGGGGAGAGAGAGAGAGAAAGAGAGAGGTGGGGGACAGATTGGTTGTGCCCGTGAGCATATGCTGCGCCTCTGCGTGTGCACAAACAACTCCGTGTGCGGCAGGCCTCTTGTCTTGTCTGAGGGTGTGTTTGTGCGCACACCTGTGTGTAACCCGACCGCTCTGCTGAAAGTATTTGAGCATTACAAGGCTACCAGGGTTGGGAGGAGGAGCAGTGACAGTTGACACCCACCCCTTCTCGCTCACTTCCCCTTTCCTGCCCCATCTGTCATCTCGGTCCCCCGGCAGCCTCCTTCCTCCACCTCTGGGCCTTGCATCTCTCATGACCCCAGTCTGGGGGCCAACAGAAGGGCAGCTGGTTCTCCTGGCCTCGGAACCTCGCCTACTCTCTAGAGTTCTTTTTAGCACTAACAGCGTCACCCTTCCCCACCTGTAAAATGGGCTGGTAACAAGCAGAACCCACAGCATGAGATTGTTGTTACATGCTCAGTGCTTGCCATGGTCAGTCGCATCCCTGTGTCCCACAAAATGTGTGGCGATGGTGAAAGGTTCTACATCTGCGCTGGCCAGTACAGAACCCCACGTGGCTATTGAGCACTCAATAAGTGGCCAGTGAAACTGAAGAACTGAACTTTGGATTCGTTTGTATTTAAATAGCTTATGGGACTCTGGCAGCCGTAATGGACAGCACAGGTGCACACCCTCAATACATGGCCACCTTTGGCTGCTAGAAAGTTCTTTTCCCCATCCTCCCAGGACCGAGCTAGGGTCTTTCTGTCTCTGTCTTGCCAAGTTCTCAGGGCAGCCCCCTACTTCTGTTTTTCCTCTGCATGATGCGGGTGTGGTGACTGGAAACCGTTTATTGCACTGTCCAATATAGCAGCCACTAGCCACATATGGCTGTTTATCACTAACTAAAATAAAATAAAATTTAAAAATTCAGTTGGTTGTGTTGGTTGCCTGGAGCTGCCATATCAAAGTACCATAGATGAAAGGGCTTAAACCACAGACATTTATTCTGTCCCAGCTCTTGAGGCTAAAGTCTGGGATCAAGATACCAGCAGGGTTTGCTCCTTCTGAGGTCATGAGGGAGAACCTGTTCCTAGATTTTGGTGGTGGCTGGCAATCTTTGGTGTCCCTAGGCTTGCAGATGCATCACCCTCATCTCTACCTTCATGTTCACATGGCATTCCCCCTGTGTGTGTGCCCTAATTTCCCCTTTTTCATAAGGACGCCAATCATATTGGATTAGGGCCACCCCACTCCCGTATGCCCTCACCTTAACTCATTACATCTACAACGACCCTATTTTCCAAATAAGGTCACATTCAGATGTCCTGGGGGTTATGACTTCAACACATAAATTCAACCCATACCAGTCATGCTACCACATTTTAAGTACTCAACAGTGACATATGATTTGTGGCAACTGTTTTGGACACTGTAGAGGCAGAATGTTTTCATCATCATGGGAAGTTCTGTTGGACACGGCCGGAAAGAGTTCCTGGCATGTATCTAGGTGCACAATAAGCTGGAATAATTCTTACGTTTTCCTGATGCCTGTTCCAGGTGTGTCTATCTGGGACGGCAGTAGGCAGTGTGGGGGCTTGGTGAAATTTGGGGTGAGTGGAGCTTGGGTCACCCCTAAAACTCTCAGCCTGTGTTCTGGGCCTGTGTTGAGCTGGCTTAGTTGCCCCATCTGCCCTGCCTACCCTTCGGGTCTCAGCTTTAACATGGCCTCCTCCAGGAAGTCTCTTCTGATTTTTCCCCCTCCTTAGGCCTGCCTCCTCTGGACTCCCACAGCTGCTTGTGAGTCCCATTGCAGCTCCAATCACCTCTGGTCACGCATCCATCTCCTCCCCTAGGCTGCAAGCTCTGTGACAGTGAAGATCATGGTAGTGTCCAGGTTACCACTGAGTCCCTGGGACCCGGCACAGGCCCAGCATACGGCAGGTACTCAGTGACCCGGAGCTTCGGGAGCACTGGACTGGGGAGCACTGGACTCGGCAGCATGCCTTCTGCTGAGCCTCAGGAAACTCTTCCCCTCCTCCTTTCCTATGCCAGCCCTCCTCTCTGACAGTGGCAGAACCGTCCCAAAGAATCCTTGTTTTCTGCTCGTTTGATGGCTCAGGTGTCCGTAACCCATTATCATTCCCCAGCTCTGCTGAACACCATGGGCCTCAGCTTCTTCATCTGTCAAAGGAGGACATTGATAGCTCCTGCCCTCCTGGGATGTTGATAACTCTAGGCATAAAAAGGTACTCAGACTATTTTGTGTATGCTTTTATTTTTTTAATTTATTTTATTTTTAAAAATATCTTTATTGATTTTAGAGAGAGGAAAGGAGAGGGAGAGAGAGAGAGATAGAAACATCAATGATGAGAGAGTCATTGATCGGCTGCAGCCCGCAACCCGGGCATGTGCCCTGACCGGGAATCGAACCCTGATCGCCTGGATCCTAGGTCGATGCTTAACCGCTGAGCCACGCCCGGCTGGGCTATTTTGTGTATGCTTTTAAATGAATAATAACAACAGCGCCTTATATATCACTCGGTGCCTGGTGTTGTGTAATCACCTTTATATTAACTCATTTAACCCTCACAAAACCTCTCCATCAACTCCACTTTAGAGATGAGAAACTGAGGCCCAGAGAGGTTGGGTAATTTATTCAAGGTCACACAGCTGGGAAGCAGCAGAGCTGGGATTCAGACCCAAGCAGGTGGCTTCTTAATTCCTGCATGTTAATGCCTCTTGAATGAATGAATGAATGAATGAATATAAATTCCTTTCCTCCTTGGAAAATTCAGAACAAATGTTCCATTTCATTCTTTGGGCTGCCTGTGGTTTCATCTCCACAGAGTAGGATTAGTTGAACCTCCACATTTGAGACAGAAAAACCAAGGCTCAGGAGAGGAGGCAGCATGGGCAGCTCTAGGGCACAAGCCTCATTGTTTGAGTCATGTTCAGGCCCCTATCTTGTTTTTTGTTTTGGTTTTTTTTTGGTTAATTCTAACCCGAGGATTTTTTCCATTGATTTATTTTTTATTTCTTTAAGAAAGAGTGGAAGGGAGGGATGAAGGAGGAGAGAGAGAGAGAGGTGGGAGGAGAAACATCGATGTGAGAGAGACACATCAATTGATTGTCTCCCACATGTGCCCGGACCAGGGCTGGGGATCAAACCTCCAACCCAGGTATGTGCCCTTGACCAGGAATTGAACCTGCGACCCTTTGGTGCATGGGCCAACACTCAAACCACTGAGCCACAAGGGCCAGGGCCAGGGCCAGGCCCCTATATGTATATATTTTAATATGTTTTTATTGATTTTAGAGAGAGAGGAAGGGAGAGGGACAGAGAGAAACATCCATGAGAGAGAACCGTCTATTGGCTGCCTCCTGCACGCCCCCTACTGGGGAGTGGGCATGTGCCCTAACTGGGAATGGAACCCGCAGCCTTTTGGTGCGTGGGATGATGCTAAACCAACTGAGCCACTCCAACCAGGGCCCAGACTCCTATCTTGACTTGTTTTGGGGTGAGTGTGTGTGTGTATCTTGTGTTCATAGCCTGGTCTGAGAGAATGGGGGGCAGGTGGAAGAAACAGGTAATAAACATTTGGTGATGAAGAGTATGTGGGCCAGAATGACTTCTTGTCTCTTTCCCTGCCCTTCCAGGGCACTCCTGACTCCTCAGGCGTAGGACTTCCCTGGAGAGGCCTGGGGAATGGGTGCAAGATGGGGTAAAGAAGAATGGCTAGGAAGGATTGGCTGGTGTGTTGGAGCTTTCCCTACCCATTCATTTACTCACTTATTCATTCGCTTAACCACTGTGTGTTAGGCTCTACTCTGGGCACTGAGATTCCAGATATAAACAATCTGGTTTCTGTCCTCATAAAAGTCCCACTCTGGTGGGCGTGGCAAATACCGAGCTAAGAAATGCCCAACAACATTTCTGTAAGGAGCTAGCCATGCAGAAAAGTGGGGGAGTGTTCTGCAGGCAAAACAGATGCAACAGTCCTGGGGCTGCACAAGTGGGTGCATTCTCATAATAGCAACACTTATTGAGAGCTTCATGTTTGCCTTCCTCTTTCCCAGTCGGTTCATGTGAATTATTTGATTAAATTCTTACGCACCCCTGGGGGAAGCAGGAGAGTGATTATTTATTATATTTGGCAGCTGAGGGAACTGAGGCTCAGAGAGGTGGTGACTTGTCCAAGGTTGCACAGCTGGGAAGTGGAGGAGGTGGGACTTTAACCCAGTGCTGTTAATCAGCACAAATGCCACCATGTTGGAGCTTGGGATGTCAACTCGCTGCGGGCCAGGGCTGTTGTATTCTTCACCCTGCGACCTCAGTCTTTCCATCTGTACAAAGGGGTGTGAGTTACTCATGCTTCTCAAGTTCCCTGGCCCCGAGACGGGGGGGGGGATCTTAGGATGGTCATATTAGAAAATACAAATATACAAATTTGGGATACCCAGTTAAATTTCAATTTCTGATGAATAAGAAATAATTTTTTACTATGACTATGACTCCAAAATGAATAAGCATAAGTATGTTACCAACTCCTGCACAACTCCAGGCTCCAAACTACAAGTCCCACAATCCATCACGTCATCCCTTTAGAAACCTATAATTTCTTCATTCATCCCAAAATTATATAGCTCACCCACTGTGTGCCATGCCTTGTGTTAGGTTCCAGGGATACATCAATGCACAAAGCTGACCAAAGTCTTTGACCTCATGGAGGGCATCTACGTCTATATTCCTTGGAAGTTTTAAGCGATTTTCTCAGACTTCTGACAGGAAGACTACAGCTCCCATGATCCCTTGTGCTTGCTCAATGGGACTACAATTCCCAGGAGACCCAGCCACCAAGTAGGCCCCTCCCTTCATTCCCAACTTTTTGCACAGTCCAAGGTCAAGTCCTACATCTGCAGTCACCTCTCCCTCCTCCCACAGCAAAGACAGGGTTTAAATAAGTTCCACTTCAAATAGATCTATTTTAAGTCTCTGTATTTTCTGATTTGGAGTTTATGTGAAACTTTAGCAGTTTTAGACAAACAGCCCACCACATCTTCCACTCTGGAGTAAATGAGTGGGCCTACAACTCCCAGGTGGCTTGGCGCGCCGTGAGAACGACACCTCCCAGGAGGCAGCGCGGCGGAGCCGGGCGGTCCGCAGCAGTGCCCGCAGGACCCCGGGGTGGACGCGGGCTGCCCGGCGCAGCGTCCGCAGGACCCCGGCATCTACCCATGTTGAGGTGAGTCTGCGGGAGCCGCCGCCGTCGCCGTCGTCTCATTCCCGCCGCCGCTCTGCGCGGCTCCCCTGCCGGCCAGGATGCTGGAGGAAGCGGGCGAGGTGCTGGAGAACATGCTGAAGGCGTCGTGCTTGCCACTTGGCTTCATCGTCTTTCTGCCCGCCGTGTTGCTGCTGGTGGCGCCGCCACTGCCCGCCGCCGATGCGGCGCACGAGTTCACTGTCTACCGCATGCAGCAGTACGATCTGCAGGGGCAGCCCTACGGTGCGTGGACTCTTGCCTTCCTCCTGGGCCTCCCCCGGGTCC